AAGAAGAAGAAGAAGAAGAAGAAGAAGAAGAAGAAGAAGAAGAAGAAAAAGAAAGAAAGAAAGAAAGAAAGAAAGGGAAAAGTAAGTAAGAAAGTAAATTGTTCTGCTATGGGCAGTATTTTCTTATCTCACCTTTTGCTCCTAAAGACTGTTCTACTTCTGTTCCTCCAAATTTCTCAGGCTTCCTTTCTGCCTGATAAGTGTTCTTCTTCAAGCTACTGCTGTGGTTCAGTGATCCCAAGTAGTTCTACCCACAGTGCAATGCACAGCTTGAGAAACCAGAGAGGGCAAGCATGATAAAGCTTGAGGCAGGCAAAAATAGGGTGTTGTAGAAGAGCTTACACTGAACAAACCCACTCATGTGGGCCAGCTCTGATTCTAGCAAACCCCAATTTCCTGAGGAGTACTGAATTCTATGAGCATGACTGATAAAATCAACTGTGAGAGGTAAATAAGCCCAGGCACTGGAGGACAAAAGACCCCAATTCTGAGATAGACCTGAGCTACTCCAACTAGAGAGCCAGAGATTTAGAGAAGTCACCAGATTCTTAAGACTCAGGAAGAACAGATGTGGTGCTACTATAGCTAGGTAGACTCTGTGAAGGCAAGGCCTAGGTTCTCTTGGCCTTACCTGGTTGTGGGCATTGAGCTCCTGGTTCTCACGCTGGCATTGTCGCAGAGCCTGCCGCTCGGCCTCCAGTGCTTGGGCCAGGTGCGCATTCTCCAGGCACTTCTGGGAGTACTGCTCTGAAAGGACCTCCAGCTCCCGCTGCACTGACTGCAGTTCCTCCCTGCAGAGAGGGAAAGCTCAGCCTTGCCCCCACTACAGGGCTGGGGAAGCTGGACACTGACCGTATACAGTGTCTGCCCAGAGAATGCCAGGGACACTTTGCAGAAACCACTCTTGTTTTTCCTGGGCTACCCACAGCTGGCGCACTCTGGGAGGCAGAACCAGTGTGACAACAGAGCTGTGTTTCTGAGAGATGTCAGGTGGGAAGCACCCATTTGGGCACTGTATCATTTCAAAGCACAGACAGTGAGCACAACGGGAAACCAGCTCTGGAGGTACTGTTCTCGGCACTCTATATCCAGAAGGGCCAAATTCCCAAAGTATAGCCGAGTTGGACCTGAATTGTTGCTTTAGACCCCTGCACATTCCAGAGATCCCAGCAAAGTCTAATCTTCCTGGTACTAATCCAAGGGTCCCTAGCAGTGTGATTCCTACAGAGTGAAAATTCACAAGGTATTTCAATGCTGCACTTGGTGCTACCTTTATAGTCAGTTCACATGAGATTTCTGGAACACTAACTCTGGCCACTTTTGACATAAACAGCTGTGGTATACCAGGCATAACAGACCATGGCTCCTTATAAGGTACTGATACAGTAGGAGTGTACAAACAAATTGGGGGATGGTGTCTGTAGTCAACCCTAATAAGAAGAAGGCACTTTGTTTTGTTTTAGATCATTGTCTCCATATATAGCCCAGGCTGGTTTCAGATTTGTGGCAATCTTCCAGCCTCAGTCTCTTAAGTGCTAGGATAACAAATGTATGCCATCATTCCTAGCTTATTTTATGATTTACAATGACATTTATAATGTCATTTGTTACATTTGTTTCTCTGCATCTTAGGGATCAATCTTAATTTAAGCCACAGGAGAGCAAGGTACTATCTGCTGTCCTTAGAACCACAGTCTCCTCACCTCCTGAACAGCAACCTCAAAGTTGTCTTAGGCTTAGGCAAGTAGCCCTCTCCCTTCCACAGGACTTTCACAGGGCTAGGTGACTCACAGGTACTGTCGCCTCAGGGCTTCAATGTCTGAATTGGTGCTGCTGATCTGAGACCGCTGGCTCTTCTCTAACTCCCGCTCCAGCTCCTCTCGGTGGGCATTCTTCATGGCTTCAATGGCTGCAGAAAGGAAACCACCCTCAGCACCAAAAGCTAGGGCTACAACTGGCACTCTCTCTTTCTACTATATTGTTCCTCCATAAGGCCAAGGACAGGCAACTGTGATGTCTGTCCCCTGTTGACACTAACTCCAGCAACAGTAGGACTCCAAAACAGGCTGGTCTGAGAGAATTCACAAAGATTCCTTCTACAAGGTCTACAAGGTGTGTTCTATTTATGTTAGAAAAACTCCAAAACAACCAGGTAAAATGTCAATTTTATATTGATACACAAGTTTATAAAATGAGAACGTCTGAAAGCTGCTCTATTTTCTTCTCTGATGCTAAACACACCATTGTACTGTCATTAATCATGTGAAGAAATGGCAGCATTTGGTTGAGACAGACTTGTTACAGTATATTCAAGCTCTGATAAAGAGTACTCCAAGTGATGGATGCCTAGTGGGGACCAGCCCTACAGTGTCACAAACAGTTGACGCACTGGCTCTCGGGCTCTCAATGGACTTCTCAAGGTAGTCCTTGACTCACTTTAAATACCTCTCTCCAAAACAAAGCTTTAGGCTAGGGCTGGTACCAGTTTGGTCCAGCACCTGCTGGATATGCATGAGGCCATGTTCAGTCCAGAAATATACAAACAGGTGGGAAAGTACATGTCTATTACTGCAGCATTGGGGAGATGAAGAAAGGAGAATAAGTTCAAGGTTATCCTCACCTACAGCAGGGGTTTAAGGATGGCCTAGGATAGAGACCCTGCCCAGCCACATACCCACTACTACCTACTAAGGGGAAACTTAAATCTCAGGGAAAAGCAATGTTAAGGCCAATCCTCTACTCAACTATAGGTTCAACCCAAGACATGAGACACCTGTGCTCACAGACTTAGCCCCACCTGAGATGGTGGCAGCTGTCTCCTCAGCCAGGAGGCGGTCTTTCTCCTCCCGCAGCTTCTCTAACTCTCGCTGGTGTTGCCTCTGGAGGTCTTCAATCTTCTTCTGATGTGTCTCCTCCATGGCGGCAAAGCCTCGTTCACATGTAGCCTGTAAAATTGAAGAGGGCTTATTGGTTTTCTATGCTTCCAAGTGGCTGTCCTATGCAATAAATAATCTGGCTAGCTGCTTGGTCCAGGAAGTGATATGGTTTCAAGATGTGGCTGGTGATTCTAGTATTTGAGCTATACGGCCTTTGTCCTGGGACTATGTGGCATCAGAACCAAGTAGTACACATATTACCTATGTTGGTCACAGTAGCAGACACACGCAGACAAATATGCTAGCTGGAGAAAGTAAGGTTCCTCCTGAAACGAAGGGTAAACTGACTGGAGAGCCCAACCCATCCTCTGTGGGCGGGGCTAGACAGGACTTATTTTTCGGAGCCAGGGCACTTCAGCTATTTACTAAACCTCAATGGTATCCACACAGGAACCAGAGCGGGTACCAACATCTGTCCTGCTGGCCTGTGCCTTCTTCTATCCTCTCTCTTTTAAAAGAGAGCAGAGGCAGGCTACCTACTGAGGGCCATACCACCTTACCACGCAGAAGAGACACATGTGAGTCCTAGGGGGACTCATTCCCCATTCTCCACAGGCAGAGCCACCGGCCTGGCCTCTCAGGGCTGCTCTCCCTAACCAAGCAGTAGTACATGCCCTGGGTTCCACCTGCAGCTCACAGCTACTCTGAAACTGGACCATTCTGCCTAAACTTGTGATAGCCACTTCTGGGCAAAACAGGCTTTCTCATGATGTAAACAAAACGAAACAAAACTGGAAGAATGTGGCTGTAATATGGCCAACTCCATCATTTGGAATCACCACACTTTGACATTTTTTACTCAGCCTAACCATCACTGAGGGGCCTTCCCAAGAGCCTCTATTTAGCAGCTTTAAAGTACCCTCCTCCCATCCTGGAGCTGACCACAGTGCGTGTGCTGTGCCAGTTAACTCCACACAGCCTAGAGATAGTTTCATATCATCCGTGCTCACAATATTTTGGATTTTGGCTCCTTTCAGATTTTGAGGTCCATTTAACCGATGCTTGCCCTATAGAAAGTCTCTTCCATTTTATTCTGATTTGAACATTTTGGAATACATAGAAGACAGGGCTGAAAACTCCTAAAACAGAAACACTGAGGTATATTTAACAACTAGGTTGCTTCATTGTTAAATGTATTACGTTTCAAAACTGTCACTCAGTAAACCAATTTAAAAAATTTGAGCGAGCCATGAGTGGCGCACACCTGTAATCCCAGCACTCAGGGAGGCAGAGGAAGGTGCACCTCGGAGAGTTTGAGGTCATCTTGGTCTATAAAGCGAGTGCAGGTGAAGGTTACACAGAGAAACTCTGTCTTGGGGGAAATTAGGTGTGCTGGGTGGTGGTAGTGCACACCTTTAATCTCAGCACTTGGCAGGCAGAGGTGGATGGGTCTCTGTGGGGCCAGCCTGGTCTACAGAGGGACTTCCAGGACAGCCACGGCTACACAGAGAAATCTTGTCCCAAAACAAAACAACAACAACAAAAAAACAATACCCCCACCAAAACAAAACAAAACAAAAACACACAAAACAAAACCCAAACAAACAATAACAAAAACATTTGAGTGTGCTTGTGTGCATGGACGTCATGGTTAACAGTTGGAAACGAATGTATTTCCTTATACAGAATTTCTTCTACCCAGAGCTTGCTGCTTTAGCTAGCTGGCTTTCTTTGAGGGATCCTTTCTCCCATCTGTTTTGTGCTAGAATTACAAGGGGGCCACACCATACCATGCCATGCCCATCTCGCATTTTCCTGAGTGTTGGGAAGCCAAACTCCTATTGTCATACTTGCAAGCACTTTAAACACCGAGCTGTTTCCCCAGCTCCAAATTTTAGTTTTTAAAATCATCCCTAGAACCAAAACAAGTTCTGCAGTGACTAAGAAGCGGACTTATGGCAAGTGAGGTTGAGGCAGCGGTAACAGCCCGGGCTCCCTGATCCGGACAGAGAGAAACTACTCCCTGCTGGGCTCTCGCAAGGCAGTCTAGGGTCCAGCTGTGCCACAAGTCCCACAGAGGGCCTGAAGTTCTTGGGCACATACATACATATGTTCAAGCCTGATATTCACATTCAACCTGTACTTTTTGTTTTTAAGGTGATTTCCCACTAGGTAACCTTGAGCCCAGCACAACCACTCTGATTCTGACATCCTGCTAAATGACTATGATGTTGCCAGGCCCGAACCAAGTCATCCCAGGCTGTTGGAGGCTCCTGCAGATGCATATAGGCAATGGTGGTCCATGCTCCCTGCGGGACCACTGAATACACATTTTGAAATTTTCTCACAATGCTTAATAGTTTTTAAAACATCTGGATGAAATCAGAAAAAGAATGGTGAAAACCCCAACTTCTTTTGTGTTTGGTTAGTAGCCAAACACGTAGAGAGAGGCAAAGGGAAACTGAATTGTTTCCCTTCAGGATGAAGGAAAAGGGTACTGAGAAAGTCATAGATGTTCTGCTGAGCTACAGCTGTGACAGTGTGGCAGAAACAGTGGCCTGCAAAAAGACAGCTAGAACCAGATGCAGGCACCCTTGGGGCCTGTTCACCTTCCAGTGAGGGAAGAAGATGAAGACATAGCAACCAGGCCACCTCTGGAACCTAAGAGATTCCATGATTGTGGCCTGGCAGCCACGTACACAGTGTAGTCTAAGAAAAAAAGGCTGTCCACAGAAACATGACAGGCAGCCTGGGAGACACATGTGGGAAAACCTTCTCAGACACAGTGCTAAGTCTTCCTTGGAGAGCTAGGCTAGGCAAGGAACCCTTGACACTGGTTTACAAATATTCTTGTTGTGAAGTCCCAACTGTGCTGAGAAGGGGTATATGGGTGACAGCCCTTCAGAGATGTGAGGCAGTCCAAAGACTGATGCCTCAACTTTGAAAGCCAGAAGGGGTTCTGTGAGGGCAAGAAGAAGGGTGTGGAGATTACCCTGGGGCATGGACCAGCAATGGGAAGACCATACCCTCCTTTACCATAGCGATGCTGCTTTCCTTGCTAGCTTCCTTCTGACACAGAATGTTAGTCAGTTCTGCCTGTACAGCAGCTGAGAACTAAGAACTACCTCCTATCCCAACTCTTGAGACCTTAGCTGCCCCCACACAATGGCCCCTTTCTTGTATCACCAAAGAGAATTGGCTCTGAAAAATAAATGGTGCTAAAGACCTTGAGGCTCTCAAAGTCCCGCTGATACTTCTCCCGCAGGGTGGCCATATCACCCTCCAGCTCTTTGTGGCCCAGCTCCTCTCGCATAGCATCCATTTGGGCCTCCAGCTCCTGGATTCGTTCTCGTAGCCCTGTCATGGATTCAGCCTCATCCTTGGCTGCTGGCACAGATCTGGGCTCAGATGGCGCAGGGGCCAGTGTGGAATCTGGGTGTGAAGGTTGGGAGAGGCTTAGTGCTCCCCGCAGGCTCCATATGTAGTGTTCCTGCAAGGCCCTCAGTTCCTCTTGATGAACGGCCTGCAGTTCCCGGACCTTCAGCTGGAACCTGTCCTCCAGCATCTTCATTTGCTGCACGTGTTGCTGTTCCATGGCCTGCCTGTCTTTGACTGAAGCATCTAGCTGGCTGAGAACCCGGCTACGCTCAGCCTGCAGTGTATTTTCGGTGTGGCTCAGCTGTTCCACCATGCACCTGATCTCTTCCTCATACCTGCCCTGTAGGGCAAACATGCTCTCACTGTGTTTGCTTTCTGCTTCTTGTAGACATCTCTGCTGATGGTCCATCTGGCTCACTTTGGCCTTGAGCTCAGTGTTTTCCTTTTCAATGAGGGTGATAACCTTCTGGTACTCATTCTTCTGCTTGTGGAGAAGTTCTTCATACTCCTCCTTCAGGGCCCCAACTGCTTGTGCACGCTTCTGGCATGAAGCTCCCCTGGCCTCCTGACAGGCCTTCTTGTAAAAGCGCAGCTCCTTTTCATACTCCAGCCGAATTCTGCACGCAGCATAGCACACTTGAGCCTGAATAATTGCGTCTTGAACCAGTAATGAAGAATACTGACCAAGGCCCTCTAGACAAGCATCATATGAGAGATGCTGGGACATCTGCAGAAGCCTCTGGCAACCCCCAAGTGGCTCTGTGGGAGGCAAGGCTGGCAAGGCAGTGGAAATCTCCTCAAGGATGCTAGCCTTTTCTCTCAGCTGCTGGGCCAGCTCATCCTGAATGCCAGCAAAGACTTCAGGGCTCTGACGGAAAGCCTGCAAAGGCTCTTGGGAGCCATCTGTGGCTGGCCCCAGTACCTCTCCTAATGGGCTCTGGTCCCAGGATGTCTGCACCTGGTTCTCCCTGTCAGTTGGATGCCTAAGGGTTTCTAATATCTGCTGTATTACGCTTTCAAAGTCTGGGGTTTGGTAGGCTCCCAAGATTTCTCCCAGCATGCACTTGTGCTGCTGTAGGGCTGCCTGGGTCCCCTGTAGGGTCTCCTGTATGCGCTGCAGCCTATGGTGGAACAATTCTCTTACTGATTGTGTGGCATAGCTGAGCTCTGCACGAATCCATGTGGCATCAGCCAGACTTTGTGGAATACGCTGCTGCCCGTCTCCTGACGTGCAGGCTGCTTCTTCTCCCACTGTCCCTAGGTGCTTACTTAGAGACTCAACCTGGCTCCAGAACTCACCGTTCACCAGCAACTTCTTGGCCCAGATCTCCATTGGAGACCCAGCAGAGCGGGCAGCACTTTCTTCCTTCAATGGCCATTCCCCTGACTGCGCAAGCTCACAGAGAACACCATACACACCTGAGGTGGTGTTCTTTAGAGAGTCAGCTATTTGGTTGATGAGTGAGGCCTCCAGGACTATTTGAGCGGAAAGCAGTTTCCTGTGCTCCTGCTCATTCAATAGGGGCTGGCAGGGCTGCTGCACAGGGGCCGCCACGCCACTTTCCATGGGGTGCCCCTTCTCTGGCTCAGCCTGTGTCCTGCTATCTGCAGGGGGTGCCCATGGCTGAAGGGTCTTGATGGCACTCACAAGCATACTCTCTATGTTAGCCAGGGAGGCCACACATGCATCCTGTCCTTCCTCTTGGTCAGCCCATGGCAGAGACCTTAGCTTTTTCCAACAGCTTTCCAAACATGTCAGGGCTTGGCTATTTTTGACTTGGAAGTCTTCCAGCTCCCCGGGGTGGTGCTCAATGTTCGTGGCCTTCTGCTGCCTCTCCTGCTCTAGCTGAGAGGCCAGTGCACTAGCCTGTAGCAAGCTGGCACGGAGCTGCTCCTGCAACTGTGCCTCAGTGCCAGCCCACTGCTGGTGCAGTGCAAGCAGCGCCTCCTGACTCTGGCCCTGCTGGCTCTCCAGCCTCATAGTCACGTCTTTGAGCTTCTCTTCTGTGACAAAGAGCTTTGTCTCCAGAGAGTGGATTATAGAGATATATGTTTCAGCATCTGCAGCTGCAGGGAGTGTGTTAGGGGTAGCTTCTGAGGACACACTATCCTCTGAGGGTGACTGGTCCTGGCTGGTGTCTGATGATGTGCTGCTAGTCCAGGCCTTTGCACACCCCTCAGGGTGTATGTACCTTTGACACTGGATTGTGGAGAACCGGATTCTTGGCCTTTTTATAGGGGCTCCCAGGTCAGACTTAGATGTGCTTTGCAGATGCCCCTCCCGGTCAGGCACATCCACAGACTTTGGGGGTACCATGTTCTCCTCTCTGCAGAGGCTACCACTGCTACCCTCCTCCCCCAGGCCAACACTTGGATCTTCATCCTCTGCCTGGGAGTGGGGAAAGCCTGGAAATACTCTGGTGATTGAGCCTAATGGCAAAATGCCACCGTCCTCCTCCGTTGACTCTGTGGTACTCTGAGGCTCTTTGGCATCCTTTGGAGAATCAGTAACAAATCTCCTTAGACACTCTTCCTTTTCCTGCAGCTTAATTTCTGTTTCCTCTAAGCTGCTGCCTAAGGCAATCATTTTAACCAAAGCTTCATTGAGGTCTTGGTCTTTCTTTTCCAGAACTCTCTCATGTGCTTCCTTAATATGCTTCAGTTCTTCTTCCTTTTGTCTCAACAGAGTGCGCACACTCTGTAGCTGGACAGAGACCCTGTGGTGTGAGTGCTCCAGGCTCTGGTAGTCAGCTTCTCTTCCCCTCAGCTTCTCTTGAAGCTCAGCCACATCGCCATCAGATGTGGCCACACGTTCCATGAGCTCTTGAAACTGCTGCTTGATGAGATCCCGCTCATCATGGAGGCTCTGTACATGCTGGGCTAATTGGCGGATGCTGGCCTCCCGGGCCTCCAGCTCTTCCTCTAGCTGATGTACCTGCTCACTGCCTTTGCATGTTTCACTCAGCTTTTCTTTCTGGAGGGCTTCCACTTGCTGGACATGGCCTTGTAGCTGTTCCTCATAGGCACTAGCTTTGTCCTCTACTTCCTTCAGGTTCTGCAGCAGTGCTTGCTTCTCCTGCTCACAGCTCTCCAGCAACAACGTATAGTTCCTCTTCAACTTCTTCTCCATCAGACGCTGGGCCTGCTCACTGGTACCCAGCTGTTGGCTGAGCTCAGCAATGCATTCCTTCAGCCTCTGCACCTCCTTCTGGCGGTCCCGTTGCAATGTCTGCTGTGTGTCTAGGTCCCTCAGTTCCTGTGTCTTCTCTAATAGCAGGGCTTCTGTGCTTTTGAGCTTCTGCTCACTGGCCCTCAGCTGGCCACTCAGCATGGCCTTGCTGTGCTGCCACTCCTCCAGCTGCTCACGAACCTTGCCCTGCTCCAGCTTCAGCTCACTCTTGAGTTTGGCTAGAGCCTGTTCCTTAATGGCTAGCTCTGCAGCGGCATTGCCAAGTCTTGTCTGCAGGGTCTGGATCTCAGCCTCATGGTGCCGGATCGCATCCTTGGCCTCCCCATAGCTCTGTGTCAGGGTCTGAATCTGCTGTGTGATGAGCTCCTGCCGCCGGCACTGGGCTTCCAGCTCACTTTGGAGGTCTTGGTTGACTCTATGGAGCCTCTGCCAGGCACCCGATGGGGAGATGGCCACTTCAGTCTTAAAAAAACCGATTAAATACTGGTTAGTAACACTCAGGCCACCCTGTTCTGAGTGTCACACCTCTGGCCAGGATCAATCATAGAATAGCTCGTTGGTAGGTTTGGCTTTAATCCTTTGCACAACTTTTTTTTTTCTTCATTTAAGAAAAAAAAAATCAAATTAATGTAGGTTTTTTTTTTTTTTTTTTTTTTTTGTAAATATAGCTGCTTCCACATAAACAGAACACATGGACAAAAACATCAAAAAACAGTATCTAGAAGAAATAAACCAAATAAAGCTGTATAATGGAACACACTGAGAAGTACAACGGAGACCGAAGGACAAAAGAAACCGCATTTGTTTTGCAAAACAAAGTATGTGGTTCTAGACCACATAATTAAAGCAGCACAGGGCATAAGGCACACGAAAGTGACGTCACTTCCTTCCATAACAGGAAGAGAAGGAAGGCAGGTAACTACTTGAGGGATGTCAGCAAAGTAACATTGGAACATTTCCTTTAGAAAGCGTAGTCAGGCCTCCACCGTAAGGAGAAAACTAATCTCTACCTGCAAGAAGACAGAACAAGGGGAATGCAGATCATGAAGCAAAATGTGGTACTAAAACAAACCTTCGTAAAGCTCAAAATAAACATGAAACATGCAAAACCCAAAATAAAACAAAACTCCCCGTACTGAGAGACATACAGAAGAGACAGAAATAATACAAAGCAGGGAGACAGTATGGGTAAATCAGGAGAGCCCCACCCAGAATCTGGCCTGCCCAGGCTCCCTCAGTCTGCTGGTGGGGAAACCACAGATGTGACACTCAGCTAAGTTCCAGTTCCACACCACATTCACCAAAGCATGCAGCCCTCCCAGCAGTGAGCACAGCACCACACCCCAAGCTTCCGTCTCTGAACCCTCAGTGCCCCACAGGTCCCTTGCCCCTTCTCACTTTTGACTGCAAGTATTTCAGGGGTAATCATTATTAGTTTTAGCGGAAGCTGGCCCAGTGCTGACCAACAGGGCCTTCAGTGTAGATGCACATGATGATCCATGTTAGACACAAGTTAGCAATGTGCAAAGCTCTTTGGCAGTGTCTTTACCACCAGTCTCAAGCCAAATCTTGTATAATGGAACCAGCCTAAAGGCTTACGAAAAGGACCCTTAAAGTAGGGGTGGGCTGAATGAACACCCTGAAGGCTTTCTGAGTAGGCCATGTATAAGGGAGATGTCTTCCATGGCCAGTTCCAGGCAGAAAGGTCTGAAGCAGGATAGCAGTTAATTTGCTGGAAGGAAGAGGGTGCAGTAAAGACAGTAAGCCAGGAACACATGCAGCAGTGTGAGAGATATGCACGAAGGTAAAGTAGGTCCTTGGCTGAGGGGAGGGAACTGGACACTGTTGATGAACCAGGTATGGAGGACACAGCCCTGCATATGGACATCGACCGGAGCCCAGTGCTGCTTGTAACTTGGTGATGAAGACTGAGGTCGCATGTCAACAACCAACGTGGCAGAGATTCTGGGTCTTTGAGAGCTGGCTTTCGGAGAACACTAGCTCTAAATCACGCAGGCAGGAGGCTGCTGCTCAAAGTAGGAGTATACTTCTGGGATCAGTGGGAGAGTCAAGACCAGAACTTGGGATGCTAACACCAATCTAAAACCACTGTCTTATCCTTAGCCTTTGCCAGGAGCTTCAGTTCAATTCTACCATCCCATTCCACTTTTTCTAGCACTTATTTGCTCTCCCACCAGCATGACAGCACTCAGGACAACACTATTTCTCCTTCACGTCCCACAGCTGGCATGGATCCTAGGAAGCTAGCTATAGGACAATGACACAAACCACCTGTTCTCATACCAGGTTGCCTTGAGACTTTTGTTCTGACACACCCACACCAGGGGTACTCTAGGGATCTGAAAGCAGCGGGATTTTGGAAGACACCTTGAGGAGGACACTGGCCTTGGGCTGTCGGCTCACCACCTAGTTGCTAGCATTTACCCTATTCCCGGTTGGGTTAGGTTGGGTAGGTGGTCATATATCCTGCTGAAACTTAGACTGGCTAAAAAGATATGGGGGTAGGTGGGTGGTGCTGTACCTCTAGCTCTGTTACTAACTTGCTGTTGGACCTAAAAAAGGCACTTAACTTGCTGTTGTATTACCCAGTTTTTTCAGTATGTACAATGGGCCTAGTCTCACTATGGTGAAAACAATGAGAAACAACATACAGATACATGGTTTTTCACAAAAGCACAATGTCTAGAAAGCCCAAAGGAGAGATCACAAATGATTTCATGACCAAAAGATAATCCTTAGCTGTAGAGATTTGAGTCATACTCTCCCAAATGATGTCCTAGCAGCAAGGAAAATGTACAGAATACCACAGCATTAAGAGCCCTGGTCCTTGTTGACCAGAGCTTTGCCATGTTTGCACATTCCTAACCTGTGGGCCTGAGCAGACCTTTCACACTGAAGCCCCTGGGTGTACTGCTGACTGGGCAGCTGCCCACCCTACCTGCAGCACATAGCCCTCCCGGGCACTCTGCTCTCGGCCCAGGGCCACCCTTAACTGGTCCTGCAGAAGCCGGTTCTGCTCTAGAAGATCCGAGGCCTCTTTCTGGCTCTGCTCCAGCTGTTGGTGAAAACAAACAAACACACGTAACACTTCACAAACATGATGACAATAAACAAAAGCAGCCGACCACAGGTGGTCAGTGGGGAGTGTTCACTGGCCTCAGATCGATCAGATATGCAGCGTGTGGAACTGTGCACAACATCAGCACAATTGCTCCCCTCTGGTGGCGAAGGGACACATTGCCCTGTTCTTGCCTCAGGGAGCCGCAACAAGCTTCCACACTGGCTCACAGTTGTACTATGCAGGCTGGATAGCCCATGTGGCAGGGTTCCTCTCTGGGGAACCTCTCTGGTGGCTGTGCTCCACTGAGAAGAGAAGGCGTCACATCTTTGTCAGGAGGAAGATTGTGTGTGTGTGTGTGGGGGGTCCTTGGCATAGCATGTAGGTCTCACTTTCAGGTCCTACTAACTATTCTATCTAAGCAGGTTTACAGAGTAGATTTCAAATAAAGTTCCAATACATCCTCAAATTAGGCATGGAAACCTGTAAATGCTCTACATTCTTGTTTTCAACAGCTTCAAAGACACCAGCCACCTTCCCCCAAATTCTAAGATCGTCCCTGCGGCTCTGCTGTAGGGCTGCCCTACTCTGCTGGGCCATGTTATGGGGACGTTAAACACTGAACTCCAGACTGCTCTTTAGTCAAGAACTCAGTATTCGATTGGGCACACGCCTTTACTCCTACCACTTGGAAAGCAGAGGCAACTGCATCTCTGTGAGTTCAAGGCCAGCCTGCTCAACAAAATGTGTTCCAGGATAGCCAGGGCTACACAGAGAAACCCTGTCTCTAAAAACAAACACACACCTCAGTATGCATACTGCAGGCCAGAGGGCTCATTTTGGTAGCCTAGAGTTATATGTTTGAATTACCTCATTTCATTTTACCTGTTATTTTTTAAAATAAATACAGAAAATGAAAAAGTCAAAGTGTTGGTGCTAGTGATCTACCAGGCACATGCACTTAATAAAATAGAAAAAAAAAAAAAAAAAAAAAAAAAAAAGGAAAAGAGAGATGTGCTGATGTGGCAGACCTTCAACTAGCTCTTATGGAAAGTGTTCAGAATATGCCTGAAACTTAATGAGGAACTTCATACAACAAAACCAGACAGAAGCCTGGAGGATGGGCACACATCTCAAACACCTCATGTGATTATGCTGGAGCTTAGGGTTGTTTTGTTTTTGAAATGATTCTGGAGAAACCGTATAACTATAATGAGCAGTTTGGGAGATGGGGCCAAATCCAAATATGAACTTCAATAATGTTACATCTTTATACACACTGGTTTATACATATGATTCGGACATTTTGTTTTGTTTTGCCAATGCTGGAGATTTGCTACTTTGTGAATTATGCAAATACTGTCACATCGGGGCCAAACCACTAGTCTTTTATAGTATAGTGTTTCTAATTATACATAAACAAAACTTCACAGTAGGGAATTTTCTGCTTGTGTGATGCTGACACTTTTCGGATTTTTGGAGCATTTGGGACTTGTGGATTAAGGATATTCGTCCTGTAACTTCTTTGGTCACAGAACTCACTAGTGAGATATAAATGTATGTGCAGACCTAATGTGGGCACATTTGATGAGAATCTCATGCTATGAACACAGGGGCTAGCTTATATGGCTCTGTACTATGCTGTCAGGATGTTCCATGTAATGCCTCTCCACCCCATCTCACCACATCCCCAGGCCACGTTTCTATTCCTCCATAGGGCTGTATTGAGTCACTTTCTTTTCCATGCAGGAAGGGGGCTGCCCACATTACCTCCTTCTCTAGCAGAGAAGTGAGCTCATGTGTGGAGAGCCGCTCACTTCTGTCCTCCAAGGATAGGTGCAGAGGGGCGATGGGCACCTGTTTTTCCTCCCTGAGAGGGGTGGTCTCCACTTGGTGCCACCGCTGCTCAATTTCCACGTGGACATTCTGTGTCTTGAGGTCAGAGGTTCCCAGCAGCCCTGGGCTCCGGTCGATGTCCATACGTAGGGCTGTGTCCTCCAAACCCGGTCCATCAACAGTGTCCAGCATCCCAAAGCGCTTGCGGCGCTCTTCTCGCCGTCGAGCTCGTTCACGCTCCAGCTCACCTGGCTCAGCTTCAACACACCCCGGGTCACCAGCATCAGAAGATCCCACAGTGCTGGCTCTTTCTTGTGCCAGGGCCTGTTGGATTGGTCGGAATTCAGCCCAGTCAAAGGTCTTGGAGCGGCCCTCCCGTCTCCGCTCTCGAGCACGGCTCTTCTTCTGCTCAGGATCTGGGTCTGCTGCTTCGGTTTCTTGCTTCTCATTAGGCCTTGAGCAGGTCTCAAAAGATGTGCTTTTATTCTTTTCCTCAGGCAATGAGCTGTGGGGCAGTAAGGAAACACGGGACCTGTCAGGGAGCTTGGACATTTTAGCAGGTCATAGGGCCAGCCTACACCTGTTCTGATCCCCAAAGTGGTTTGTAAGTGTAGAGGGAAGAATGCTGCACTTGTGTTTGGTTCTCCCTTGGGGGACGGAAAGAGCCTTAGCTGTTCCTGAGATCTCAGTTCTCATTCTTTAAAATGGAGTGTCATGATATGCAGGGAGTGTCATGGTGGTCCTACCATGGATCATGGGGATAAAACCAATGGATTTCTGTAAGTCCCACAGGACAGAAGGGTCTAGCCACTGTCCAGACACTTGGTGAGAAGCAACCCTATACTATGCAGTGACAGAACAGTGACAGTGATTGAGAACTAGCCCTCTCTAGAAGTTCTCAGGGATTTCAATAAACAGGACACACCATCAGCTTGATTGGAAAAACAAAAACAAAAACCTCATTGTGGCTACAGGCATGACAGGTCAGAGTGAGGAAGCAGAGGCATGTCACATGTTCTGAGAAATACACACTATAGCATGTTAAAAGACATTTTCAAATGTGGGCATGAAGGTGACTTGTGTGGCTGACCAGGTCAGCTTAACAGAAGAAAGGCCAGCAGAGGCAGAAAGACAAATGAATCACAGAGGACAAACATAGCCAGCTGATAGTGGGCCAGAAGGAGGAAAGGACTTCATGTTGTGGTGCAGCTGGGCCCAGGCCTCAGGCAATGTGGCAATTAGCAAGATGTCCATCTTACCTGGTCACATCTGGGGCTGTTGGGAGTACATGTTTCATAATGGTCTGGATCCAATTCCGTCGTATGCCAGATGTCATAGCTGACAGGGTGAACTCACCCTCCTTGGTCTACACAAAAAATACTAACCATCAATGGTCAGCCCATGGGAGTGACTGCTGCCTCCCATCTCTAAAGTAAACACAGTCCCTCAGAGAAAAGAGTTAGGCTAGGTGACTTTCCTAGAAGTGTTGTACATGACCTGCTTGAGACAGGAAGACTAATTAGGGCCACACTTAGGGAGTGGTGAACTGGGTGTCCCCTTAACAATGCAGTACACACTCACTAGTAGCCTGCACAAAGATGATCATATGTGTCCCTCTCCTCAAGAAGCTCTTGTTAGCCCTAGGGACAAAGACACGATCAAGGAGAGTGGTGGCCCAGGCCTAGCATCCCATAGCCTCCACATAGATGCACAGAGTGACAGAGGGGCTGCCTTGTATCTCCTCCTGCACTGAAAGGGCAGAAAGATGCACCACACCACTCCTGTCACCGTCTAGGTAATGAGAGCTAAAGCAGTGGCAGAGGAAAGGTGATGGAGGGTCAGGGCATCATTGGCTGGACAGGAGTCAGGAGCAATCTGTTGACAGCAGGGATTCTCCAGATGGGAAAAAGGAATCCAAAACTATCAGGAGCCTGCTAGCACATCAGCTAGTACAAAAATGAAACCAAGACAGTTTGGGGCAGGTACTGGTGTGGCAGACAACATATGGGCTATTGTATTGACCGACCTTTTCCTCCATGGTGGACTGTCACACCTGGCTCATTCCTCATCAAGGAATACAACCTTGGCGTTGTCCCACAGCAGCATGGGACCCATTCACATTCTAAGCCAGACCATTCAACCTCTTGATGGAGGTGGTTTGGCCTCAGCTATGCAGGAGAGCTTTCCTGCTACTTGCCAAGCTCATGCTCTCAAAAGACCTATCACTGCCTCAAACTCTCCACTGGCTAGGATTGCAGAGGATCCATCTCTACTGTGTAGTCTCTGAATCCTCAAAACACCATGGGTTACAGGACCTCTCTGGTCCTACCTCGCTTGAAGTTCCTCCCTGGCACCTTCAGTTCCTTCCTTCCTTGCCCACCACACAACTACTACCTGCCTGGTTTCCCTTCTAAGTGCCCCCATCTCTCATGCGAGTTCTGCCAGATATATCTAACTAACCAAGCCACATTCCTGGTGCCCATAAATGTCAGTTCTTCCAAACCTCGAGACAGCATTTGTCCTGACATGCACTTGCTATTCTCATGTGCCATCTTTCGCCTACCTTCTGCATTAGCACCCTCTTCTGATAAACCCACAGGGCAGGAGACCAGACCCACCACTGGCTTTGGCTAATATGGGCAGAGAGCAGGCACTGCCTTGAGACATCTGCTAGTCAGGCTGAAGATGGGGAAAAAGCCAGGAATCATTGCAAAGAAGAGGTTCTTCTCTACATTCAGATTCCGGGAATGTCTGTCTCCTTCTCAGAGGATAGGGACATTGCAGTTAGGCAGCAAGGAGCAAGGCCATGGGAACAGCTGTTGCTCCTTCCCTAGACACCCAGTACATGCAATGGAGCCATGGTCAGTCACTTAGGAACAGCTGCCATGCTCCTCTTAAGATCAAATCCACTGGCCTTCAGGGGTGTGGTTTGGTCCCATCTAAGTCTGGTGGGTCTCAGTCAGCCATTAAGTGTGTCTGAACAACTGAACACAGCAATAAGTTGAGTTCTAGGTCCCTAAACCATAAAGTTCTTTCCCCAGGGAGCCCAGAGAATGCCAGCCTTGAGCTTGAAGTCAAACCCTAGTGCCTATTCTACTTGCCATCACTCCAAAGATTTCGGTGAGAGATTACAAAGGTTCACCCCAAAGTGGGGCGTGGCTTTGACTTGCTCCTGGGACATGTCCAGAATTCTGGTTGACTAGAGAGCTACTGGGATCTGCCTAGGACCCTCATTTGATAGTGACAGTGACAAGATGATGTAAGGGGCAGATTCCCACACCAAAAAGAACACTAACTGTGTATGTGGGATTAGAGATAGATAAAAGGAGAGTAACCCAGCTGAAACCTCACTGAAGAAGGCAAATGTCCTTAACTTGATTCTAGGTAGCCCTTTATCTTTTACTCCCCAGACTCTTCATCCTTCCAATGGTCCTATATTCCAACATTAAAAATAAAAGAGCAATTACGGCAACAAAGCCTTTCAAAAGCCTTGAGGAGAAAGATGCAGAAACCCATCTTTTTGTCCATCCCATGTATCAAAAGTACAGGTCAGCAGCCATAGGATGGAGATGGCACTGTTATCAGGAAAGACTGAATGCTGACCACAACACATTAAGATAGAACCCTTGTTGTCAATACCATCCACCCCCTGACTCACATGTATCTGAAACCCATAGTTTCTCTGGACTGGATACTCGGTAACATCATAACAAGTGGACAAGTCAATTTCTCCATCTAGGTCAGCTGCCTGCAGAGAAAAATGAGAGGGTGTGAGGAGATTCAGATTCTCTCTAGATTATCTTCCACTGAATATCTTCACAGAACTGGACCATGACCAGCTGTCCTACAACTTCTAGATCTAACCCCCTCCCTTGGGGTAAGTATACCATCATTTCTCTGTGCATCTAGCCAAAGAAATCCCACTGCAGTGATCCCCAAATGTTTTGTTATTAAAATCCTTTTACATGCTTAAAAAGTGAGGAGAGCCTCTGTGCTGGTTAGATTTCTGTAGGTCATGGAGCTTACCACAGCAACAGAAAACAAAGACACTGTCTAAGAGTTTCGTCTGTGTGGAGTTCACCTATTGATGATAATTTCTGTACTGAAAATAGAAATTTTATAGGGTGAGGTTGGGAGGAGACAAAGGAGGGGGCCAAAGCCGGGATACAAACTGAACTGTAATAAATGATAAAAAAAGAAAAAAAAAATAGAAATTTTAAAACATTATTCATTTATTTAAGGAAAACCTTAATAAAACCTGGGTGTTATGGTCCACATCTACAATTTAAGCATTTAAAGGCTGAAAAGGAGTGCTGCAAGCGTAAAGCTAGTTTGAATCACATACTAAATCTATTTCATGTTAAAATTAAAATGTCTAAAAAATCAAAACATGATTACCAATCACTGGTGGAGCAGCAGGGTTTACACCTGTGCAGGCCTCGACATCTCATGCTAAAGATGATGCTGTGCTCGTCTACTTCTTTTTGTTTGTTTGTTTTTTTAAGTTCTTTTTTTTTTTTAAGATTTATTTATTTTATTATGTATACAATGTTCAGTCTGCATGTACACCTGAACACCAGAAGAGGGCACCAGATCTCATTATAGATGGTCGTCAGCCACCATGTGGTTGCTGGGAATTGAACTCAGGACGCCTGGAAGAGCAAGCAATGCTCTTAACCTCTCTCCAGCTCCACTCTTCTACTTCTGCACTCAGTTGTCCACACACAATTTTAGTTAACACACATGAAGAAGTGGTCTAACACAGAGATGGAAAAGGAAGACTCTTCAAGGAACTGGCTGGCCTTCCTTGATGAGTAGCTATGTCTCAAAGCTTAACTACAATGTGGAATTTGCAGTCCTATTGGTGAATTTTCTGTGTTGTTAACAATGAAATTCACACAGTTCTACCCTTTGAACAGCTCCTTTGCCAGGCATGTTCTATAACATAACAACATAACATAACATAACATAACATAACATAACATAACATAACATAGCAGACAGTATTAAACTATGCAGAACTTTCAAATGTCTACACAGTTCATTCTGCAGAAACAAAATTTGCTTGTGTACTGCCTATTTCATCAGCAGAGCTTGCAGATAAAGAGAAGCTGTTTAGATTATGAATATAAACCTTCCAACTTTCTCAGTTTCTTTTCTTGAGACAGGGTCTCTGATTACTGCCTCAGTTGGTCTCAAATTCTTAACTTGATGTGATCCTCCTGCTTCAGTATCTTGAGTAGCAAAGACTATATGTGTCTTTGTATGTGTCACTGTGCCTAGACTAGGTTTTTCTTTTTCTTTTCTTTTCTTTTTTTTTTTTTTTTTTTTTAAGATTTCTTTTTATACGGGATGTTATATCTGAATGCCTGTTAATGTACCATTGGTGAGTAGTGTTTGCCAGTAAGTAGCATTGGATCCCTTGGAACTGTAGGTACAGATAGTTGTGAACCCTCATGTTGTCCTTTGCAAAAAGGTTTTATTTTCATGAAAATGCCTGCCAAACTCTCAGCTGTTTCTTCAAATAATATTCTACAAAGACATGGCTAGTTCAGTCAATAACTCAGTCATCATATGGATATGTGTGTTCCTGTAAGGCTTTAGCATGCAGCCAAGTGACTGACAGATATCTCCTGTAAAGACACTCAAAAGGGGCTGCTCTGTAACAGTGCTTCCCACACACACCCCATGACCTGATTTCCACCCCCAGAAGACATGTAAAGGCAGTGGGAAAGAATCAACTTCACAGTCACCCTCAGATGAGCTGTGAAGTGTGTGTGCCCACACACTGAAGGTCATGCACATGTACACACACAATCGAAGTACTAAAAAAGTCAAAAGACACTAAAGAGAATGGCATTCAAAGGCTGGGACTTAAAAACACCAGGACCTATGTTGTTGTTTTTTAAACATCATTAACTGTAGAGCAATACAAGTCCACTGACTGTTGGTACAATCTGACTTTGGCCGTTTTTTCTGCTTCTGCCTCTGTACCATCAGTGCTAGGTCAACACAGTTCTGTTAGCAGTTTTGACTTTCCCAACACAGTTTACTAAATATCTCTCTGGATGCAGGTAAGAAACTTCAGCAGGTAATGGTGCTTGTGACCAAGCCTGATGACCTGAGTTCAGTTCTTGGAACCTACTTGGTGGAAGGAGAGAACACCTACCAGTTGACCTCTACACCCATATGTGGCACACTCATTTGTGTGCACACACACAAACATACAATTTAGAGTATGAGGTCTACCTTTGGTCAGAGCTAACAACTTACAAAATCTGTACCCGCCTATCACATAGGCAGCCTTCCTCTTTATGCCTTGAAGGCTGATCACAAGAATTTAAATACACAAACCAGCCCAAGAGATTCTTTCCTTTTTAAAAACTTATACAAGCATGGATGGCAAATGTGAAATTCTCGAAGACGGGTGGGTGATTCTGAGGACCCCAGATGGAGTCAGCAGGGAAAATCAGGACACAGACCTGTCAGGTTGTTCAAAAGAATTTTGGTAGGTGAAGCAGAGTCCCTTTTTGGTCTTCTAGGGGTGGTAGGAAAATGACTCATCAGGTAAAGGTGCCTGCTGCCAAGTCAGTCCCCAAGACCAACATGGTAGGAGAGGACTGATACCCACAAATTGTCCTCTGACATCCACTAGGGTTCCATGGTATAAGTGTTCTCCGCCCTATGCCCTAACACACAAAAAATATTTTTAAAATATAAGTTCCCCTACCACAACAAGGCAGAGCAAGATATAAGTTAATCTGTCCAGTGACTCAATTCAACACACAATCTTACCAGAGACAACAACACTAGAACTGAGTTCACCCTGAGTACTAAGCTCACTGTTCTTCTGTTTCTTACATTTATTTTATTTGTATGTGTGTATGCACAGGTCACATGTGTGCCTGAAGCCTGCGGAGGTCAGAAGAGGACATCAAATCTCTTGGAACTGGAGTTACAGATGGTAGTGAGCTACTATAGAGGTGCTGGAAACCAAATGCTCTTAACAGCTGAGCCATCTCTCCAGCCCCACTTCATTGTTCATTGTTCTTGAAAGAACACAGAAAACAAAGTTACCAAAACCCACTGCACCAAGATAGCTAATTCAAGGCCTCAGTGGATGACCATAATATCTGAGGTGGGAAACAGTTCTGCCATTAAAGCTGATCCAACTGCATGCACTGTCCCATCAGACTGAGACTATGACACCCAAGGCAGGACCTTTTCAAACAGCCCTGGACTTTAGATGCCACTCATGCTTTGTAGTTTTCTCACCTCTTCAGCCACGGAATCCCTGTAGTATCTCAGGCTCTGATCAGCCAGGACAAACCAGTGTTTCTTCCACTAAGGGAGAGAAAGATAAACATCCAACTACCCTGCAAACATACCTGTGTCCCTCCCTGACTACAGCTGAGTCTAGGCACCCTGGAGAGCACAGGTAAAGCAGGCAACAAACAGATGACTGTTCTGGCAGGCAGCCATGCGCTCATGGCCTCAGGCAGGCCCTGTTAGGATGCGCTCCAGCAACAAGGCAGTGGAGAGCAGTGGGCCTCGGCCAGCTCTGTGCCCCCAGTGTGTGGTTGGTGACTGGTGCTTTGCAGGCCTCTATTCTACCTTCAGAGATTGCAGACAGTTCTGCTGGGTTCATCACACAGAAAGGTGGCTGTGAAAAGGGTAATGAGAGGTACAACCACTCGGCTCATATACCAGATGTGTGGGCCCAATGAGCCAGCAGGTACAAACTAACCTGCCAAAGTCCCAGTCTTCACTCTGAGGTAGGGAACTTGAGTCTTCAAGTAAGGCCAAGGGCATTTAATATATGGTAGAAGGAGGAGAAACGGGATGCTTTGGCACAGTCTCTCAAGGCAAAAAGGAGCTAGGATAGTAAAGCTGGTTTTTATGGGCTTCTAGGGCAAGCGCCTAACATGTTCCAGGTCAAGGTGAGGCTTGCAAATGCCTCTCCTCCTGTTTGGACCTGATAATATTTACAATTCTCAGAACTTAATGGTGCCCCTAAAGCTGAGCTGGTCCAATACAAGAATTTTACAGCTGTAAATGACTGCCTATACGGCTGCCTTGTATGAAAACATAAGCCAGCCCCACAGCCATAGCTGGCTGTTCTGCCTGTGGGGAAGCCTAGACCCTTAAGAGAACTTTTAGGGCAATCATAGCCAGGAACTAGAAATGTAGGACATCTGCAGGCCAAAAGCATATATCAGGGCTCACAGACCCCATCAAGGACAAGACAAACTAGAACCTGCAGCTGCTTCCCACTCCTCTAGGCCTCTGCACTTACACATACTCACCTGGCCATCCTCATACTGCTTGGTTAGCCAGCCTTTCTTGAAATTCAGCAGGTCAGGCTAAGAAAGAAAAAAAGAACAGCTCAAGGGAAACCATCGTGGGTTCCCCAGTCGTGGACAAAATGTGTCCAACAGGATTGTTTTCATCTAGATGAAGCAGCACCAGTAACAGATTTTACCACCTACCAGATAAGCTTGCCCATTCTCTTGCCCCAGCATTGCTGCCCAGGGGCATATGTCCTGAGGAAGAAGTTGAGGGACAAGGAAAGACAACACAGCCTTATTTTTAACCTGGGCACAGAAGCACAGGCTGCCTGGCTGCTCTGAGGTCTGTATTCCACTTATTCAGGTTTTGTACTCATCCTGCCTTGGGGCACAACATGGGCCCAGATGGAGAGTCCCATGCCCTGTATGGACACAGAACACCTGCAGTAACAGCTGAAAGGGAAATCCAAAGGCTCCTGCTGAGGCTGCAGAAGGACTGGAGGCCAGAGGCCTGAGAGGCAGAACAAGTCTGGGGTGGAGAAGGCAGTAGCAGCAACCTTGTCCAACTTTCAGATTACTCTTACACCAGGAGGAAGTTCAGTCTTGTTCCCTATTCAGGAAGGTAGATCAAGGACTACCAGATCAAGGACCTTAATGGGGTGCTGGCTCTATGAGGAGCAGCCTGCATTCTGCTGGGGACAAAGTTCTCATCTGCTACGAGTACACCTGTAAGGCCAGGTTTCGAAGAGCCCAGCAACCCCTGCTGTGGCCCCCAGCACTCTCAGGTCTTCCACAGCTGTCCTGATCAGAAACTGGTTTTGATGTCTCTTACTACTCCAAAGACAGGGAGTGATCCACAGAAGTAATACCAGGAAAGGCATCTGGGAGTTCCTACTCCACTGGGGAGTCCACAGTAGACTCCTGCCTTGCCCCAGCTGACCACAGTAAGACGAGGCTGCCCCCTCTATGGAGCCTTGCGGTAACCCATGCTTCACAAGACTTCCTTCTGCAAGAATTGTTTGACGTACCAACACAAATGGAGACAAATTTTAGGATGCCCCAGCCCAGAGACCTGTACAAAGGGTAATCCCTTTTTGATGTACACAATTGTTGCTGCTCCATGAGACTTGAGATGGAGGCCTGCTCACTGCCTTTCTGGCTCTCCTGCTGAGCTGCCGTTCTATGAAAATTCTTACACTTTCTGCTGTGGTAATCACTGCTCTTGTGTCTGCCTCAGGGAATGGTGGAGGTTGGTCCCTTTGGGTCTTTTCTCTGGGCCTCTGGTGGCTGCCAGTCATAGTGGCTACCAGCTGAGTTGACAAAGAAACTGCTCTCTGGGGGATGAGAACTGGTGAGTGTGCCATGTCTCCTGGGAGGCTGTAGACTGTTGAGGAACCAGGTTGAACTTTGTCTGCAGCTTCATTCTTGCATACACCCTCAAACAAGACAAACTGTCAATACGACCTGGCTCCTGTTCGAAAGTGTCACAAAAATAAACACGAAAGCAGGACAGCAGAGGTGAAGTTGGACTTTACACCTGTAGTGGCCCGGCAGCCTCCTGTGCACAGAAACCTCCATGTGCTACTCAGGGTGCCACAAAGCCCCCAGTCCTGCTGGGCCCAGGAGGAGGAAGAATGATCAGTTTCCAATGGATTGCAGATCAGTGGGTGGGGCACTCACAGGCATGAGGGTGGTACAGAGGGAGGGCCGGTGTAGACATATAGACATAAATGGACAGTGGCCCAGAGAGGCCAGAAGCAGTAGTGGTAGTGGCACAGATCTCCAGAGAACTTGGCACATGGCCTGGGCTCACCGTCATGGAGGATTCTGTGGACCTCCTGTCCAATGACTTGGCTCTTCGGTGTGGAGACAGGGGACAAGCATCTGAGAGAGGAGCTGTGGGGGCTTCGCTGGCAAAGTCCTGTGGCAGAGAGCAGCCACCCATCAGTACAGCTCAGGGTAGCTTGGATAGGCATGGGGGCAATAAGTTGGGTGGTTCATCCCTCCTTGAGTGGGGCAGTGTTCTGTCTAGATCCCACAGCAGGTTCTGAGATGACCCATGTCCTGGCATGCTTTCAGTGGAGCAGCCTTTTCTTTGGATGCCTGGTCATCACTGTCCTGGCCCCACCCAATTTTGCAGCTTCTCAGGTTACAGAAGGAAGATAGCAGGCACCTCGTGAGCAACAAAGAAACTGGAAAGAAGGGCTTGGGTACAGTACGCCACAGAAGAGGCAGGTGGGCAAGAGGCTGGAGGAGTCTGGGAGGAGAAAGAGGACTGCGGAAGTCTGACGGAACTTGTGGGCCAAGCAGAGAAGGAGGGCACAGCACGCCACTCCAAAAACAAAACAAAACAAAAACAAACAAAACAAAAACAAAAACAAAAAAAAAAGGAAAAAAGGTTCATATTCGGCTTTGTTCCTGGGTGGCCGAAGAAATTGTGCTGGTTGCAACTGGGATCTAAAACTCATTGAAGCATCCTGTGGCACAGAAGGCTGATGCTGTAAGGAGGAGATGCGGAAGGCAGGCTGGTGTTCAAGAAGCTAACTGGAGGAGAATGAAGAGTGAAGGCCCAGAAGAAACATGTCCCTGCTATGGATGGGACTCAGAGCATGTAGGGCAATGTGTCCCCAGACCCAAGCCATGCTGCCAAAGGCCCCACTTAGGCCCACACTGGAGCTCACCCGCTTTCTAGGGATGGCCCGCTTCTCACTGCGGCCCTGACGAGTGTCACTTGATGGAGTAGTCATAATCAGCATGTTGGTTTCCATGTGCTCTGCCTTTTCAATATCCAAGGCCTCAAATTTCTCAATTACCTGGGATCTCCTACAAAAAAGGACATGAAGCTGCTAAACCAGAGTCTCCCTGTTCCCAAGGTGGACTGGGTCTCAAGTCCGGTAGGGGATCCTGCAGTCAACTTGTACACCTGGCCTACCTCACTAGGCTCCAATGCTAGCTGTTTAGCATGTGAGGCACCCTTCACACAGTCCTGACAGGACTTGGGCATTAGGATTCAGTCTGCCTGAGCTCCACTTGTCCCCCCTTCAAATGAGCTGGAGCAGCAACAGAACCCTTCCACACTGGGCCTACACTGGCTCTGCCCGGTACTGGACTCATACACCTTGGGAACCTCCCTGAGTCAGACACAATAAAGGACAACCACCACCTCTGCACACACTGCACCCTCTAGTTACAATGCACCCCACACAGGATGTTCAAATTTTAGCAAGGAAAAAGGCCCATGAATTAACAGTCTCTGCTAACATTAAAGGGAATCAAAATCAAAATCAAACAAAGCAGTTGATTTCATGTGAAAGGCCAGCGGCCTCGTCAGGTGGTCTGCGGCTGAGACGACGGAGCTGAGATGGAAGCGAAGCGGGTGGAGGAGGCGCGAACACAGCAGAGGGTGGAGAGGGCAAGACCTGAAAGAAAACAAGGCTGGGAAATGAATGAACAGAAAAAGACTGCTTTTAAAATTCAAATCATGATAAATCAAAGTTATCTAAAGAATTAAAGCAGCAAAACCCAAGGTAATGGCTGAAGACAGAAAACCCATGATCAACCACAGCCTGAGGAGTCACTTTGTGGGATTAGGCAGAAGGCTTGAGCTGCCTACCTGGGGTCTGAGATCTGATTTAATGCCTGCTGGGAGGATAACCCCTTCTCACCAAACCTGAGATCTCTCCCCTAGGGACACTGTGTTCCCTCACAATGAGGGTAACCGTGGCATGCATTCTGGACAAGTAGTGAGGAGCCAAGGGGAAGTGATAATGGTCCCTTCAGAAGACTAAAACATCTAATAAGCAAGAAGACTATGGCCTATGATCCAAGGACCTCTCTTTTCTAGGTCATTACAAATCTACCTTGAGAGGCCCTCTCCTCAAGGGAGGTCAGAGGCCAAGGGCAGCCAGGTATTCAGGAAGGCATCTGGGTTCTCTGCCTCCACACTCAGCATTGTTAGAAGACTGGTGCCAAGTTAGACTGCTGTGCCCACAAAAGCTGAGGTGAAAAGGCTGACTGTGAGAGCAGTAAGCTAAGCAGCTGCTGGCTGCCACGTAGTGGAGAACTTTTTGAGTGCAGTTAAGGTGCCCGGCATAGCCCGACTGCTGCAGGAAGGTCTGGACACTCACAGCTCTGGGCTAGGGCTTCTTCTCAGGCTGAGGGCACTGTACCTGGCTAGAGGACTTCAAGGGTCCAGGAGAGTGCCGGGCCAGGCTGAATGCGTGGTGTGGGTTTGTAGGGCTCCAAGCAGATTAGTCAGCATGAGAAACAGGAGGCACTTGCTATACATATAGCTGCTGGACAGGGTTGCCACCAAGAAATGCTGACATTGGGGCTTTGGCAACCTCTGTAGAGCTGGTCCTCTGTTGCAAGGTTGGTGTTTTCGAAGCAACAGAAGTGTGACAGAAAGTTCCTTACTCAGGTGGAACTGACAGGTGTAGCTCTCACACTGGGAAGTGGAGGGGTCAGGGTTTCATGGACTGGGGACAATTTTCTATTAGCTATAAGGACCACAGCTTCCCCACACTTAGCAGATACAGGTCTAAGAACTGATTTTAAGAACTCCTTCAAAGGCTCAGAAGTCTGAGGAGTAAATTCCAAGCTCAGAGCTGCTGGTGCTCAAGTGGGGCTGCTTACTGGCCTACCAAAGTTTCCCAGAACCGATCCTGTGGTTGCAATTGCCTGGATGCGTGGCAGGTCTGTCTTGGCTACTATGCAATGCAAAGTAGCTGACACCTTGTCACCCTACCCTATCGGGCCAGGATCCAGTCCAGCACCAGATGGACTACTAGGGCCTCAGAAAGAAGTCTTCAAAGAGCAACACCAACCAGCAAGATCATCAGAAAGGGACAGTTATATAATTAATATGCAGAAGTAGTATGGGCACCAACACCAGCTGAAACCCATCCCCACAGTGGCAAAGAACATGCAAGAACAAAGCCCAGAGACTGCATCTGTCTCAGGCAGGTAGACAAGAATGCATTCAAAATTAACTTCTCTGACAAGTGGCCTAGCCAAGCAGGTGTGCAAAATGTTAACTTTGGCCTGGCACTAACTTAAGGCATAGCTGACCCCATTTTGAAACCACCAGAACTAGGTGCTCAGTAACCAGTACAAACCCTCCCCAACCCACCCTTCAAGCCTCCTTAATTGCTAACAAGACCTTTTACTTCTGATAGCCCAAATGCTTAGAAAGTACAACAGGAGCTTTGGTCTTGGTTCCTAGCATGTTATTAGAGACTTCCTGCTAAAGGCCTATCCACCAGCTATTATTCATCATGAAGAGTGGGGGTCACTCAATTTTTGAACCTCAAGTTTTCACATCCATGAATCAGGGGTAAGAGTAAAAGGTGCCTTATTGAGCCACCACTAAACTGGGAAGACAGTCGATTATATGGAATTCCAGGGAGCACATATAACTCAGGGTCCACTGTCTATCGGAGATTCCATAGGCCATTTGAACAAGCTGGGTTGAGTGTCAACTAATTGTGAGTTGAGAAAAAGGGACAAGAAAAAGTCCTTCCCAATCTCATCCTGTCCTTAACACCTGATTGAACTTCAGCCTGCACCCAGGGTAGGGTAGATACTAAACAAAGTTCTGGAGTTGATTTCTAAACAGAGAACTTATTTGTAAACCATGAGTAATAAAAGCTCTCCTTCCCCAACCAATAGCAACACAGACAGATGTACTTTTAAACTCTCCTGTGGGCGGCTATGGATCATTAGAAATCTGTCTGGTGTTAGGCAAGAAACCTGGCATGGACACAAAACACAGCTCAGAAATGTGTCAAGAGAATCTTGTGTGTGTAGCGGGGGTGGGGGGCAGCACACAGGTAGAATGTTCCCTAGTCCTCAAGCTTGGAACAGCATAGCAAGAAAAAAGCAGGCAGGAGTCTTATCTTTTCAGCAGTAAGTACTACATCTCTGCTGCTGGCAGAAAGCCATTTCAGCAAAACCCAGGGGACAAAAATGGTACCTGGGATACCTAGAAGCCTTTCAGGCTGCCTCTTACATCTTGGTGGGAAGGACTTGTATTTGCGCCTTCACTTTCTTGTGCCTTGGAACCTCTTCAGTGCCCTCTGCCAATCGCAAAACTGCCAGCATGAGGGCCTGGCCCCTACCCACAGCTCTGAGAATGAAGCAGGCCGAAAATAAGACTCAGCCCATTGGGCCTAATCTGGCAAGCACCAACCTAAAGCAGCCAGGATAGGCCTGTATCTGGCTGCCAGGAGCTGAGAACTGGTGCCACAGTCTGGGGCCCAGAGAAAAAGTGTCCCTGAAGTACGCTGTATGTTTTATATATGAGTACATACATAAGTTTAGCCCTCTAGTGTCCCCCTTACCTCCGCTCGTTGCCAAACAGACGGGCCACCTCTTCCCTGCCAGGGCTCCGGGCCCGGGTCCTACGCTCCAACCGCTTTCTCTCCACCTGAAAGGCTTCTCGATGGCTGATCCGGATGGCCTTAGGGACGTCGGCCAGGGCGGCATACTGCCTGCTGGCTTTAAAGGCAAAGGTGCTCCCCAGCAGCTGTGTTCCCCACCCCCCAGCACTGCTGGAGTCCGTGTGGTTGGGTGGCCTGCCGGCCTCACCCCGGCTGTTGGGGCAGACGCTGGAGACCATGTGGCTTGGGGCTGGAAGACCTGGAGAGTGAAGCGGATGGCCAAGTTCCTGTGAAGACAATCCAGGACAACCATACCTGTTGTGTGGGGTGCCGGGGCTGGGTGGGGAGAGTGGTGGGGGCAGCTGCTCCTCAGCCCTCAGGTCCTGCTTAGCCTTCTCCAGGGAGAAGTAGCCGCTCTCTACTCGTACTTTCCGACCACCATCTACACGGTCCCCATTCATGGTGCTTTCATCTGGAAGACAAGAGGAAGCTTGCTTAGACTGCTGCCAGTTCTATCATGGGAACTTTCTGAAAGCCCACACACGAGCAACCAAGAGCTGCCTCAACCCTCTCCACCTTCACGCTCTACAACCATGAATGGGGTACGGGTGGAAAGAGAACTGTGAGAAGAAATGGACCATCTATCTGCATTGCCTTTACTCCCTACTCTCCTTATAGTCAGTTCACTTGCAGAGGCAGGCAGACCCTCTGCATACAATTCACGTGGGGAAGCAGGACTCCATCTTAACCAGTGATTTCCTTTTTTTCTTTTTAAAGATAGATTTGTTTATTTGATGTATATGAATGTTCTATCTGCACGTAGACCTGCATGCCACAAGAGGGGTATCAGATCATACTATAGATGGTTGTGAGCCACCATGTGGCTACTAGGAATTGAACTCAGGACTTCTGGAAGAGCAGACAGTACTCTTAACTGCTGAGCCATTTCTCCAGCTTCCTACCACTTTTAAATAATTAATTTACTTTTATGTTTATTGGTGTTTAGCTTGAATATATGTCTGTGTGAAGATGTCAGGTCCATGGAACGGGGGTTACAGACAGTTATAAACAGCCATGTGGATGCTGGGAATTGGATCTGGGTCCTCCAGAAGAAGAGACAGTGCTCCAGCCCAACCAATGGTTTCTTACTAAATCACAGGACACCAACCAAAAAGATAACTTTCAGGCATTTAGTACATTCTTGAGGCAGGAAGGAGGGCTTTTGTTGGAGCCCTCCTTCCATCCATGCATGGAGCATATGGATTTTAAATATGGGTAGGTTTACATGCTGAAGAACTCAGACTGAGTGAGGCAAAGAAGGAAACTTTAGCCTGGCTGGGGCAGCAAAGCATGCTAAATAAGAGAGCACAGTGATGTCAATGGGGTTCTCTATGACCCTTTTTCCTAGGCAGGGGCTGAGCAAGGTGGTAACAATGAGGAGAGGGGCAGTGCTGCCCTAAATGCTACCTCTCTAAAGACAGGAGGCAACCAACAGAACAGGTTCTAAGAGCTAATGAGATAGAAACCTGTGGACCAGGACAGAGGCCTCACAGAGGCAGAACAGTCTGTAGTTCTCCTGAGGCCAATGGAGCAGGTGCTGTACCTCTCTCCTTCACAAATGAGGTAGAGAAGCCAAGCTGAAGCACACAGGCCAAGAACCCAGTCATGCCAGGCTAGTGCTGCCCAGAACTGATGATGCAACAAAGGAAAGAAAAGTCCAGGGCCTGTGACAGGACTCTGAGGGTCCTGCATCATATCCCCATTGTCAGCTCCTGTTCCCTGGTTGGAGGCTCACTCCAGCAGTACAAGATGGACCATCACAACAAGGAGGCCTGCAGGCTCCTTAGCTGCTGCTCACCTTCTTTGCTTTCCAGCCCTGTTTCCCGAGGGGTGCAAGCAGCAGGAGGCTGGCTTTGGCTGGGACTCTGAGCTGGACTCAGGTTGTTCCCATCAGGTTGGTCTTTGGCTCTCATTTCTTCCTGCCAGAGCGTGGATTTGGTGGTGGGGACTTTTTCGGCACTGGGAATGCTGCTGCTGCTGCCACCACTACTGCTGGTGACAGCCATCTTAGCAGGCCCAGGTTCCTGGAGAGATAGCAGTGAGGGTAGAAGCAAATAAGCATATAGCCCAAACCAGCTCACAGCTCTTAGCTGCTAAACTATAAGGAATATAAGGCCAGCAAAAGAGTGTTGGGAGATGGGAAGCCATTCTTTTCTGATTGTTTTTTATGGCCCCACAGTGCCTTGTCCAAGCCATCTTGCAGAGGGAATGTTCTGGGTTTCTACCAGAGCCCCAGAGCCATGTCACCAAGTATGTACAAGTTCTCTCTGTATACTGCTAGGCTGTGCCTAGAATAGCAGCCCAGTTATTAAAGGTGGGCCCATGGGAGTTGATTTAGAGTCGGTCAATCCTAAACTTGTAGGCACTTGAGATATAAATAAGGAGCTAGGATAGGGCAAAAGAGGAGAGCACTCCCCTGAGCCAGGCCCACTGCAATCAAGATCACTGGGGTAGACGGAGAAAATGAATTCCAGCGTACCCACTCTTAAGCTTACATGGAATACCAACACTGATATTAAAGGGCTACTGAACTAAGACAAATGCTATGGAAGTCCTGAACAGTTGTTGGTCATTATTTGGAATCTCATCCTCGCGGTGATCATTTGTGGAGGTGGGCCCTTAGGATATGGTTAGGCCATGAGAGTGAAGTCCTCAAATGGAGTTAATATCCTATAAAAGAGGCCCAGGTTCTCTACTTTGCCCCTTCCATCATGACGATGAGGAAGCCAGCTCATCTGCTGGCACCTTAACCTTGAGCTTTCCAGTATCCAGAATTCTGAGGGTAAAAAAATGACAATGTCTACTGTTTAAGCACCTCACTCTGTGACATTTTACGAACAGCATCAGGACTGCTGTGAGACACACATCCTACTCAAACCTGAACACCCACACCTGTCACATGCACACCTTCTTCTCACGTACAAATTGTTCTTTATTGGTAGCCCAAGTCATTTCCCAGTTCTTCCAGGGCACAGAAGTGGAACCACCCTGAGCAGAAAGGGTTTGTCAGGCAGGATAAACCCAGCAGACACAGAAATCCAGTTACTAAGTAAACAGAGCTGGACTCTTTAGATGTTGAGCCCAGATAAGGACAGGATGGTAATGCCATCTGTCCTGTAGTACCCACTCCCACTCATGTTCTGTGCCCAATCATTCTGCTGAGGGGGCTGCCAAGGGGATGGTTTCAGGTGATTACTATCTTGCCACAAAGAGGGGCATGGGGGGTGATATGTAAGTATCTACCTCCTACTCCCATCTGGTCTCAAGCCAGACAGTTGGGCCTGACCTAAAAGGAACTTGTTCCTTCTCCTTTATGACAGTACTCTGTCTTCTGGAAGACAGGTAAAGGACCCCATCCTTGAGCAAGATCTTTTCTCTTCTGAGCAGGTGAATGAAAAATCTAGTTAGGTGGATGTGACCAAACAGGAGTGTAGAGGCTCACATTACACAGTGCTAGCCTGGGTCAGCAAAGGGTGCAGGCATACAGGCTCATGGCACCCTGTCCCTCAACAGCCAGCTGTCATGTTCATGCTGCTAACTGTGATGAACCCTGGCTGCTATCATAGGTACTCAGAAGGGCTTCTAGAGTCGAGGAAAAAGGATTAAGGGGTGCCATTTTCTACTTCTCTGGCATAAAAATGGAGAAGGGGCCACAGTGAGGAGGAAGAGTCCTGCCTTGAAGCAGAGATCCTACAGAAACCAACAATCCTGGAAAAGCACAAGAAACATTCAACATATCCAGATTTGGAGTAAGGGCATTACTCAGGTTTTTGCCAAGAGCCTAGAGCCTATGGGGCTGGCACAGAAAAGGGCCATTCTCCAAGTTCCATATGGGCAAGACTGTGGAGAGCTAAGGAACTCTTGCACTTGCTATGCCTCGGAGGACTCCTGTTTCCCTCTACTCTAGGCCTTGTCTTCAGGGGCATATGTCTGACAAACATCACCTCTAGTATCTGAATTTTTTTCAGGGTCAAACTGAAGAATTCAGCCTGACCTGGCAGAGACCAAGGTTTGGTCCTTAGTGGTTCAACCTGAGACTCTATACGCTTTGTGCAGAGCTTTGGGAGATAGATGGAAGGAAACTCAGCTTCAGGCTAACCTATAGAACCATAAGGACCACATAGATGCCTCTGGCAGTATGCTGTTAACGTATGAGTGTACCCAGAGGCTTTAATCCAAATGCAGTCCTTGTCTCTTTCCTGAGACCCACCAGAGGTCAACTGTGAAGAAGAGGAGAAGCATTACCATAACACAGGTAGAGGAGGCTGGGAACTTTGTACCCTGGTTCTGAGGCATGCCCTCAGGGAAGGGGTGACTTCCCTGTTCTGGGATCATAGGGCTCTTTCAACTGGCTAGAGAGCTGAAGTGTGGCCACAGGGCAACATCATTTGGAAGGGACAAAGTTGTGGGGGAGGGGACACATCCAAATTTCTAGCCTGACCCAGGCTCTCTACGGTACATAGGGAGTTACCTTATTTGGAGGCAGAAGCTCTTTGCTGCAGTGTTTCCAAGGCATTACCATGGAAACCAGGCGTAATCCTAACCTAACAAGGCATAACTGTTATTCAGCCAGAACTTTTTCCTCTCAAACCAGGCAGCTTGGGGGATTTGAGCATTAACTGCTGCTCTCCAGCAGAAGGCTCTACTTTCAGCTTCCAGGAAACTGACTGTATGTTTTCATTTCTTTGGCTGTGTGTTTTACTGACTTCCAGTTAGGAGTGCACTATTCTTCAGGAACTGCTGGCTTGGGTGCCCTCTGGGGCTCCTTGGGTAAGGATGGGATGTAAGACGGATGCTGGTCAGTGGAGGCAGGCCTAGGCTGAGTGAATAGTACTAATAGAAGAAACTGTCCACAGTACTCCTAGGAATTGTGCAGACCCAGTTCAGCAGCTTCTACCTGCCTCACTTGTGCAGCCCAAGAAGTCAGAGTTGCCAGCAAGGACTGCCTGGACCAGGAACACAGAGTTCTGTCTTGGGCTGCCTCTGTTTGCTTCCACAGGACTCCGGCTTTGTGATGCCAGGAAGACCTATTCTGTTCATTCCCAGGACTGGCTTGACTTATCCAACCTAGGTCAAAACCCTGGTGAAGGCAACATTTGGTACAAAGGGGAAGAGATGAACATTAAGTACCTACAACAGGTTACCTGAGCAAGAGGCCCCTATTGAAAATTCAGAATGGTGACTTCAGCCTTCCAGAGCCTAAGGGTGTGGTGAACACAGCAAGAATGGAGACAGAGCCCTTCATGCCATGAGCCCAGAATACTGGGGAGGAAGGGAAAGAAGAAGGGAGAGAGGGAAGGACTGGGCCTGATGGGGCTGCCCAAGTCACCTAGCTCTGGTCATGCGAGAGTCAGGGCAGAGACCCACCAGGCCTCACCTTCTCTGTTGCTCAGCCTACTGTCTGCAGGACCACTTCTCTCCTTTGGCTGTGGGAAAAGAGTGTGCCATTCTTCTTTTCCCAGAGGCTGAAGGATGGATGGCCAGGGGAAGGGACACATGCTAAGCTGCTATCTCTTAGCATTTGCCTGGTGGCCTGAACCCTCCTGAAGATAGCCCAGAGCATTCTAGCAGGCTATTTTGCTCAGTGACTCAGAGAGGATGATATATGGTCTGTGGCTCGTTAAGTATAGGCAGGAGGGAGGAGGAGGCACGCAAGGTATGACCACCTCAGTCCTGGCCAGACCTTTCCCCACCCTCTTGCCCTTACTTCTTCCCAGGCTCAGCTCTACTAGGAGACATGACACCCAGCCTACCTGGGGGGTGGGTGGCTCTACTTTCCGCTTCTTCTTCTGGTTCTGCTTGTTGGTTCGGGGATACACCACGAGCATCTCTAGCCACCTGGGAAGACAGGAGGAGAAACAGAACCAGGTAAAAACTTGGCTTTCAGGACCTATGACCATAGCCTTGCTGGGGTGGTATACACCTCAGGCTCTTAAGTACCCTTTCTGGAGATACTTACCCAGTGGTCAGACACTGAGCAGAGTAGGTGTTACTCCAGATGAGAGTACAGTAGCTGGGTGAGACTGTATCACATAACAAGCCAGGAAAAGTATGGGCTGTATCAGAACTAGCCCAGACAATGACCCTTCCACTGCCATCATGGGCTCAGAGCAAGATGAGTTCTCTATTCTGACAAAGAGGCAGGGTTCACCAAGGGCATCATAGAATGGAGAGACATCATTGTCCTAGTACTGACCTAGTCTCAACTTTAAACTGTTCACCCATACATGGCTTTGGAGAGTGTACAGCTAGACAATGACTGGCAGCCAATTAGGGTTACTGGAGCAAATACTGGCTAAAAGAAGACAATCAAGAGTTATATCAGCAAAGTTCCCATGGGGTCACCTCGGAGGTGAGAGGCTAATGAATTAGATCACCACTTACACAGGAAAAAATGCCAGGCATACCAGGTTGGAAAAAGGCCACATATTCGCCAAGGATCCTCTATCATAGCCTACATTCTAGGAAGCCATTCTGGGCTAACAACAAAAAGTATGGAGAGAGAAAGAGCTGTAGGCAAAAGGTTAGGACTCCAGATCTCGCACTGCCACTGTCTAACCTCATCTTAGGGTTCTCCTAGTCCCTCAGGGCTCATCTTATTTCTGAGACCAGTGGCTAGATGAGAGCTCGTCTAGAATTTCAGAAGGACAGGGGACTGTACATAGAAAAAGGCTTGATTTTGAAACCTGGCCTCAGTTATGGCCAAGGGGAACACAGCAAGCAGCCTTCTTTCTAGGCAAGCAGTAACTTTAGGAACCACAAGAGAGAAAGGGCTCTAAACTTCACAAAACAGCAGGGTCCATACTGGGTATCGGCCACATCCCTGTACCTATCAGTACCCCTGGCGCAAGAGAAGCACCTTGAGGTGCTTCTATAATTTCGGTTTGCTGTAGGCAGGGAAGAGAAGCATTGCATTGCTTTTGGGACCAGTCTTGGGAGCTGGGGGCTAGAGAAACCACGTTTTGTGCAGGGAACCATAGCTGCTGCACAAAGGGCTGTTTGGCCCAGCTCAACCCATGCCCAGGGATCCACAAGTTGCTAAGAGCACAAACAAAGCCCACCCCCTCAGAGCCACAGGGGTCCTATAGGTTACTTCTCCATGGCCTCAAAGAAAAGGAGTTACGGCCAGGTTTCCCAGGGCGCTGAGCCTGAATCTTGGAACCACTCTGTGCCAGCTGATATTTCTGTCAGATACTTGAGGACCTATACCTGAAGGGAGTGACTCATACAACTTTGCTAGAATCTGAAGTCAAGATTATCTTCCCACCAGGGTCCCAGATATGTGGGGCACACGGCAGGGGTTGTAGAACTTCCCGAGTGCTCAAAGCCCCTTATGCTTTATCCACCAAGGAGCCTTGACAGGGTAGAGTCCTCAAGAGGAGCTAGGCTGCTCAGCTAGCCTAGGGACTTGGGAAGAGCTTGAGGAAGAAAAGCCAGGGACTCTCAGCACTATTAAACTTGTCACGGCTAGGGTCAGCGTTGTCAAGGCTGAGGCAATGGGTCTGCATTCCTTTCTCTTCTTTCCTCTCCCTACTAAAACAACAAACCAGAATCTTGCTATGTAGCCCAGGCTGTTAGGCTGTCCTGGGACCCCTGACCCTCCTCTTGCCTTAGTGTCCCAAACACTGGAATTGCAGGCACGTGCTCTCACATTCAACTACATTGATTCTGGCACGGAAGCCCAGTAGGATGTATCCAATATATTCAGATGTGTTAAGAAGTGCAACAACCCAGTGAAGAGGTCAGGGTCAGGCAGTAGACATGAGGTTGGTGGGTACTAAGTTTCTCCAACTCTAGAAGGCAGAGCGAGGTCAGTGAGAATGAGAGAATGGGCAGAGCTGATCAGGCAGGGAGAAGAGAATCCTAGCCTCTGGCTCAGCCAGGGAGCAAAAATGAGCCCCAACCAATCCTCTGACAGTACTTGTGTCAAATATGGTCCCAGCAGCCTGGAAGCCACTCATGGCATGCGGGAACTGCAGAATGAACCACCCACTTCCTTTAGCCAACCCAAGTGGAATGGCAGGAAGGAAGGCTGGAAAGGTGGTAGACATCCCTGCTCTCCACAGCCAGCTTGGTGAAACTGGTGTTTGATGTAATCAGGGCATTTGGCTAAAGGGGCCTGGAGTACACAGAAGAAGAGCCATGACAGCACTGGAGAAGACACTGAGAGCAGAGGAGATAGAGTGGAAGGAAAAGCACCTGTTCTTGCAACATCTGTGCCTGACTTCTCTGGGTACTGAAGACCCCAGCATGCAGGGAGGGCTAAAGAAGCTGCTGCTTGAGTCAGAAGAGGGGTTTCAGCAATGAGGGTGAAAGGTTCAGGTGGCCTGCTATAACTATGGCCATGTATAGGGACAATTCTGGAGTTTTGGTTTCTTTAAAAAAACACAGAAAAAGGGGGCTGGAGAGATGGCTAAGAGGTTAAGAGCACTGGCATCTCTTCCAAAGGTATGAGTTCAACTCCCAGTAACCACATGATGGCTCACAACCATCTATAATGAGATCTGGTGCCCTCTTCTGGTGTGCAGCTGTACATGCAGACAGAACACTGTATACATAATAAATAAATAAATCTTAAAAAGAAAAAACACAGAAATAGCTGGTGGTGGCCCACACCTTTAATCACAGCACTCAGGGAAGCAGAGGCAGGAGGATCTCTATGAGTTCCAGGCCAGCCTGGTCTACAAAGTGAGTCCAGAACAGCCAGAGTTACACAGAGAAACCCTGTTTTGAAGAACCAAAAAAGACATTTACACCCCCCCCCAAAAAAAAAAAAAAAACCCATGTTTTTGTTTTAATACCAGCTGTGGGGATATGGGACTGCTTTGGACTATCTACAGCAACTGACTATGATTTGCCTTGTGCTCTAGCAGAGGTGTGGTTTTGCCAGCTGCACATCATTTGTATGATTGTGTGATGTGTGGAATTCTGGGAACTTTTCAGTGGGTATATAAACGCTAGGGCCCTGAGGGACAGGGTTGGTCAGTGGTTGTTGGTCATTTGGGGGGGGGGGGTTGGTTGCAGTTTGTTAATAGCCATGCTCAAAGATGAAACAAGAAAAAAAGAAATTAGATTCAAGGACCTCTATCTCCCCACCACCATCCTTCTTTCTCTCCTATCTAGTGATAGGGGGTGAAACGGGGGGTGGGGGGAATAAAGGATGGGAAAAGTAAGAACCTACAAAGTAGCAAAGACCAGCTACAGCCATGACTTGCCACATAAACCATGAACACAGGATTTTGAAGCCACTTGCCTCTGATACCCTGGTCAGTTAATGATCATTAATAGCAGGGCCCCACAGTATGCTGACAGAAGAAATGACAGAGAAGTAACCAAGGAGAGTGGCGCAGCATGGTGCTAAGACCCTAGGGTAGCTGTCAAAGGGATCAGTCAGTCGGGTGCTAAACATCATCTCTCCAAGCCACATGGCGTCACTGACCCAGTTCCAGATACTCCCTGCTTGTCCTGGGGCCTCTGCCTCCCTTTCAGCCCCAACTGCCATTCAGGTCCACTCTAGATCCAAGTCTAGGAGGATGAGGTTCACTAGGAAGATCCATTTGGGACACGTGTGCTGGATCAGGCCGGGTAGTAGCAGCTGCAGTCAGGAGTACAGAAGGTCACTCACACCCGACTGCTCTCCTCTGCTTCTGGCCCCCAGATTCCTTGGTGTAGAGCATGAGTTTATTAGAAGCCCTGGAAACCCTTAAATGTTGCATTCTGGGTTAAACGCTGGAAGACACATAGCACTCCTCCAGACTGTCCCCAGAAGCTTAGAAAGGAGAATTCTCCATCACCCAGCAGAGGCTATCTCTTGGCCAGAATTGGGGTGTCTGCCTTAAGAGCCACCCTTGAGATGCGGCTGACACTAAAGGAAGGCTGTGTTCCCAATGGTGTTGTACGTGCTCAAACCAGAGGGCTTTGTGTCCTCACCCCCCTCCACCCTGTGCTGAGCCTGTTCCTCAGCCCCAGACTGATTTCTTCCAAAGCTTTGGCACACCTGCCCTTTTTCAGCCTTATAGAATGAACAGGGCTCACCACTGAGGAAAATACATGCATGTAGACTACCTGGAGCTTTCAGTGCTACACAGGATGTTTCTCAAAGGGGCTGCCACATAGGCCAACTGATTCACAGCCTGGAAGAGAGGGCTTATTCTATTTGAGGGGAAGGCACAGGCTGTACTATGTAGCTGAGTACAATGAGGCACAGGGTGAAGACAGGGGTGTGTGTGTTGGGGTGTGGTGGGGGGGGGGGGGAGACCAGAAGCCCGGGAGTCCCTAGAAAGGTGTGGACAGGCAAACAAGCCTCCTGTGGTTCTGGCCAACTTACCCACTGATGATCTCCTTGGTCTCTGCCCTGATAAAATGTTCCTTGTCAGGTGTCAGGATGCAGAGGGAGAACTTCTGCCCTGTGCGGGCCTCCCCGTCCACCACATCTGTGCATTGGTTCATGTTGATGGTACCCTGGGGGAGGGTGGTGGGCTGCAAGTACAAAACAAGTCACTCAAAAAGGCAGTGTCAGGTCCCCACAGCCACCAGCAGTATCCAGCCCTCTCCTTCAGCCCTCAGCCCTCACGGCACCACTTCCTATCCACCCACCCATAAGGGGCAGGCCAGCTGAACTTTCTTAGAGGACACCCAGCTGGACTTCACTTCCTACTTGGAGAACAGTGTCCTGGCTTACACTGGAGGAGGGAAACAGGACAGTGAGAGAACAGCTCAGTGAAGACTGCTGGGGAGAATAGGCAGCCAAGATCCTAGTCTCAGAGGAAAAGCTTCTGAGACAGCAGATTCAACATAGCAAGGTTCTTTTTGTTTGTTTTGTAGTAGGTGGGTAAGGTAGAGAGAGCCACGTGCTTGAGAGCTAGCTCTTAGGCTGGGAGACAAACCCAAAGGCTCACCTACACCTGCCTGGGCCTTAAGGAGCCCTGCAGAGACTTCTTGGAGGGATAGGGAATACATGCACACAAGGATGCATACGTGTGCAATTTAAGACACTGGAATTAAGAAGAGAAAACCAAAATCAGAATAGGAAGGCTTTGAGAGATTCCCACTGCAGTAAAGGGCTAGATGAGAGGATTTCTGTCTGATGCCCCACATTGCCCAGCTCCAAGTCCCGGTCACTTTCTGGATGAGTAGGCAGGTCCAGAATAGGGTCCTAATTTTCCCTGTCTCTTCTTTCCAGTGCCAGTCCCTTTTTAGTCCCCATAAGTCTTAATTACAGGCCCTCTCTAGCATGCCTCCTGAACCTGCTTTGCGTAAACTGTCCTCTCCTATATAGAAGAAGCAAGTTTTCTTCATCCTGGACACATCTTATAAGGCACATCTCATCTCTGAGACAGAAGAGAAAAATCAGTGCTATGGGGACTGTGACAACTGAATGATATAAACTGTGCTGTCAGCCAGTAGTGATCAAATGACAGGAACTGCAAAGGATGCCTCTTCTTCTCTACTCCTGGAACTCCATCCCAATCCTTGGGGTCAAAATACTGACAGCAATGGCCATGATGGATTTCAGACCTCTGTAAACACATTACAGACTATGACAATATATCCTACAGGAAGATGAGTTATAAATGGGGATGATAAAACATATCAGCAAAAATCCTGATATTTTCTTCTCAAAGGATTGGCCACCAAGCTGTTTAAGGAATTCAGTGTCACCAAAACTGCTCAGGTCCCTATAGCCTGACTGCTTCCTCTTGCACAGCAGCAGTCAGCACTAGAAACTTGATCAAGAGCCAAAGACGCTGCCTGACAGCTAAGTATAGCCATGGTCTCACACTTCAATCTCTCTACCTCCTTGGCCTCAGCTCTATTTCCTTTAGAAAGGGTTTGAAAATGGTCAACAGAAGGCAAAGACAGCCCGGCATGAATGGTCACACATACCTGTAATCCCAGAACTTGGGAGGTGGAGGCAAGAGGACTGTCCAGGGTCTGAGGCCAACCTGGCTAGCCAGGGCAAGATAGAGATGACACCTCAGGAACAAAGCAAAAGCAACAACAACAACAATAGAAAACCAAGCCAGGTGTGGTGGCACATGCCTTTAATTCCAGCACTGGGGGGGAAGGGGAGGAGGCAGAGGCAGGTGGATCACTGTGAGTTCGAGGCCAACATACTCTACAAAGACAGCCAAGGCTACACAGAGAAATCCTGACTCCAAAAAACAATAACAAAAACAAACAAAACCAAAAATCCAAAACCAGAAAGAGATAAATTATGCTAGGACAGAAGGAAATTAACATTCATTTAATTAATGTCTTTGATGTCCCCACTGTTCCATTACTAAACAGGAGGAGGGCATTACTGGTCTCTATCATGCACAAAATCAGGAAATATTACAGAAGGAAGGGATAACTATGGCTCTAGAGCCCATCTCTTTACAGCAGCTTTACTGCAACATAGTTTATATTATACAACTTACATGTTTACAGAGTAGTTTGAAGGCTATTCAGGATTTACAGAATTGTATAAGACTCACCCCTACAACCCTCAGGCCATCAGTCATTTCCCTCTGTCTCCCTTCAATCCCTGTACCTCTGAAGATTTACTCATCTGATATTTTATATAAACGGAACCACATGGTCTGGCCGTCCTTTGTGTCTGGAAGCTCCTCCTTCCTTCACCACACTCTGAAGGCTCAACTTTCATTTTTTGTCCAGGCTGACTAGCAATCTACCATGCAGATGAGCCCCATCTTATTTTCTCACTCCAGCACCGAAGGACACTTGTGTTGTTTCTACTTGATACTGTTGTGAACAACACTGCTATGAATGAATACACATGTGTTTGAATGGCCACATACTTTCACTGCTCTCTGGTGGGTAGCTAGACTTGGAATTGCTGGCTCAAATGGGAACTGTATGTTTAGCTCTTTGAAATGCAACCGATTATTTCCTGAAGTGGCTGTTATCACTGACTTGACTTTCTTCCCAGCTGTGAAAGGCCCTGGAACTAAAACCAAAAAAAAAAAAAAAAAAAAAAAAAAAAACCCAAAAGAAACCTCCCCCTAGGTGTGGGTATGCCCCCGTATGCTTGGATGTCAGTTCTCACCTTCCACCTTGTCTGAAACAAGTGTCTCTCTATTGTTCACCACAGAATGAACAAGGACAGCTAGCTCTCAAGCTGCTGGGGATTCACTGCATCTCATCCCAAGAGTGTGTGACAGCTATTGCCTTGGCCAGTCCACTCCCTTCCTGTTGTTTTGAGACAGGGTTTCTCTGTGTAATAGCCCTGCTGTCCTTCACTCACTTTGTAGACCAGGCTGGCCTCAAACTCACAAAGACCCACCACCCCAAGTGCTAAGGCATGTGTCAGCACAACCAGCTACCACTCCCAGGTTTATGTGAATTCTGGGGATCTGAACTCAAGTCTTCACACCTGCAGGCAAGTGCATTATCCACTAGGCCATGTCCCTCACTCCACATTAATTTTCCCCTTTAACTTGTTAGAACACCAGGCTTTACCTGCTTCACCTTTTCCTGTTTCAAATAAATAAAGAAGAAGGACCAAAGGAAGGAAGAAAAGTAAGTAGGAAGGAAGGTAAGAAGGAAGAAAAGGGGAAAAAGCAGAGAGAGAGAGATTTCACATCTGACAGCCAGTGCTTCTTCTGTACTATAGTTACAGGCTCAGTCTCAACCCAGCTGTCCAGCTACGGTTCCCATATTGCCAGAGCTAGGACAGCAGAACTGTTGTAAGCTGATGGTCACGTAAGAAGGACGGTAGCAAACTGGAGGTGGGAGTCTCAGGACAAGGGTTTCTCATCAAAGAGAGGACAGAACATATTCTGAGAGCTTAGCCCTATTCTTTGTCCTCTGCGGCTGGACCTGGTAGACACTGCCAGGGCGAAGGTGACCCTCCTGGGTTAGGATGACTCTGTTAGAGCAGTCTTACTACTTGAGGCCCTTCCATCACATCCCAGCAGGTTCTTCCAGGAAAACCAGGTCGTGAACTCTTGATCTCTTGCCTCTACTGAGATTACACGCATGTGCATTCCACCTGGCCCACCCTGTCTGTAACTGACTCTGGAGAGTTTAGGAAAGTAAGACAGGAAAGAGGAAGAAAATGGAATGAGCTGCAAGTGAGGCTGGTTAGTATGGGAAGAGGTCATTTCTAATAAGCAGCTGCTACTATGGAACCAGAGGTGGCTCAGAGGCCACACAGTGGAAGTCACTCTTCACTCAAACAGGAAGGGACACCATCCTACAAAAACCAAGACTTTCCCCTGGCACAGGGCATTGCTTCCCAAATCTGAAGGTCTGAAAGGGGTTGTCAGAGTGAAGCCTGGCCCTACCCACTGCTTCAGGGATGAAAATGATTTTTTTTTTTTTTATGTGCATCAGTGTTTTGCCTGTATATGTCTGTGTGGTGGTCTGGAACTGGAGTTACAGACACTTGGGAGCTGCCATGTAGATGCTAAGAATAAACCTGGGTCCTATGGAAGAGCACACAGTACTTTTTTTTGTTTTAAATACATCCTGACTGCAGTTTCCTCTCCCTTCACTACTCTAAAAACCTCACTCCACCCTCAACTTTCCCTCTCCCTCAGATCCACTCCTTTTCTGTTTCCCTTCAGAAAAGAGCAAGCCTCTCTCTCAGGGATATTCACTGAACATAAGCTTTTTTTTTTTCCTCTTTTCTTTCCTTCTTTCTTTTTTTTTTTTTTTTTTGAGACATGGTTTCTCTGTGCATCTCCAGATGTCCTGTAACTCAGTTTGTAGACCAGGCTGGCTTCAAATTCAGGGATACACCTGCATCTGCCTCCTGAGTGCCAGGATTAAAGGTGTGTGCCGCCACCACCCAGACACAGTCAGTACTCTTAAAAGGTTAAGCCATCTCTCCAACCTCCAGGATGGGTTTTTCAAAAAACAGCTGGCCAAGGCCACAGAAAACACAACTTTTACTTGGTGATGGTCATATCCACACAAGCACACACAATGTGCAATGAGATATTACAAATCAGTATTTTTATTTTAAAATGTTTAGTTGTGTTTTACTATTTATTTATATGCTTGCATGCCATACCATGGCATAAGTGTGCAGGTTAGAGAACAACTTACAGGAGCAGTTCTTGCCTTCCACCACGTGGATCCTGGAAACTAAACTTGGGCTGTGAGAACTGGTGGCAAGCACCTTTACCCATGGACACATTTTTATGTGCAAAGGTCCAAAGGCTTTATGGGGAGGTACAGAAATGACCCAGGGCTTTCAGGGGGCATTGCTAGGCTATCTAAATTTATCTTGCAAGAATGGAAAGAATAGAACAAGGACCTTTGTCACCACTACCAAGACCCAGAAGTTCCTTCTCACATCTGTTGTGCCAGCCCAGTTTGTTCGGAGTTGCTGGTGAGGCAGCAAGACACTTAGGTTCTATTATGTAACCAAAGTTTTTTGCCAGTGGATCTTCCCTTAGGAAGCCCTCTCCACCCAGGCAAGGGGAGCTGACATCTTCACCTATGTGACACTTCCACAATAACCTTCT